GGTACATGGGTACAGGTACATGGGTACAGGTACATGGGTACAGGTACACATGGGTACAAGTACATGGGATGTGCAAGTAGAGGGGTACTGGACATTGATACATTTGAGCCTGCAGGCTGTGGAGATTGGAGGGTATTTGCACGAATGCGGCTGCATGAAAGCAGTTGACAAGAAGCTTGATTCAGATCCAGTTGGCAACCATCGTTTCCTTCAACAAAGGGAAAACCTCGTGAAACAAAAGATGGAGAACCCAGCCTTGAAGATGACCAAGAGTCTGCGAGAATCTATCAATGTTGAAGAGGAGGTGGTGACTGGTTTGAAGGGACCAAAGAAACGTTTTCTGGAACTAAGTGCATATGAACGAAAATTTGGTCCAGCTCCTGAAGATCAAATCAAGCAGCAAGTCTACAATGGTCAAACTTTGCTTGGTGTAGATGTGATAGACGAAGATGATGTGGGTGTCTATGAGTACATTGACCAAAACATCACCAAAGTGGCTCGTGTGACTGCGATGAACTCCGACGTACAACTCAGTGCAGAGCAAAATGATGTCATACATGCATCAGCACTGAAAACCTTAAAGCAATCAACATTTGCAACATCGGACAAGTCGGCTATTCCAGTCCGTTTTCATTCTGGTGCATCTGATGCAGTTGAACTCGCAAGTGAAGGAGAGAAAGGAAAAGGACATGGAGCAGGTGGTGAAGAAGAGTGCCATGCAGATGATGATAATGCAGATCTTGATCCACAACCATTTCAAGGACTTTTGCACAGAATGCTCAAGGAGAAGAAGCGATCAGCTCCTGCATCATCAGCTACACAGCCCCCCAAAGAGGACCAAACCAGCTTCAACACCTTCAACTGCTGAGACTACGGCTGCACCGTCTGTACCAAACAATGGTGGTGGAGGCGGCACTGGTGGCGGCGGTGGCAAACCAAACAGGAAGGGAACAACCAAACGTGAAACTCCCGCCAAGGTTGATGAAGGCGACCAAACAGAATCCAAAAGAAGCAAAGATGATCAAGCAGTGATTGATGGCTATATAGCGCAATTGATTCCGTTGCTGAAACTGGATGCAGAAAAGTCAGATGACAGTGGTTTTGCACCTTGGCAGAAGGACAAAACCAAGAACTTGAATGAGCTGAAATCATCCATTCTTACCAAGAAGAAGAGTTTGAAGAGAAGAACCGCAGCAGATGCCAGTGCTTTGACTGATGAGTTAGACAAAATCGTTGCTGATGTCAACGCACATATAGGCCTTCTGAAGCAGCTTTCACTCGGGACATTAGAGGGTAGCAACACCTACGACAACATCAAGTGCCTTGTCAAAGAGAAGGGTGATGACATCATTCAGGTTTCATCTGCGGTTTGGCAGCGGGCATTGCGTGGAGTTGCATTTGAGGACAGTACATATTTTAATTCGATGTTCAATTCAATTCATATTTATATTTAACTGAAAAAACCAATAGCTGCCACTGTCACAATCAACTAGTTTCAAGTTTAGTTTGAGTCTTATTTAAGTTTAATCCATTGAGTTTTGATGTTGGTACACACGAAGGACCTGAAAACCGCAAACTTCGAGCGGTTCTTCAATAACACACAGCTTCTTTGTCAGCATCATCTTGGCGAAGAAGCAGGTCGATCTCATTTTTTCTCTCCTAGCAAGTCAATTGATACAGCGAATGCTGAAGTCATCATCACAGACCAAGACTATGAAAGATCCAGCCAAAGATTTTCCTTTTGTGGTCAAGTTTGTCCAGGCTTTACATGACGCCTTGTCCAACAACGATGATCTACTGGATGGCAGTTGTGAAGACAACATGAATGTTTCACTTGCAATATTGAATGTCATGGACTTGCGTACGCCACCATCGCAAGTGAACAATGCAGTGCAGCTCTTGAACAGCTCGAGCCATTGGTTGGCTAGTGCTTTCAAGCTGGACAAAGGAAAGCGTATGACACAATTGGCCTTGGAAAATGCTGCCAACAGGGAGAATCAAAATGGTATCCTTGAAAAGATCGGGGAACACACCTCTGCATTGGAGGAACAGGCTATCACTGATGAGAATGATCTATCTGGCGATCCTTTGGGAGCTGCCTATGGCAAGTTGCTTCTAGACTGCTCTAGGGCAAGAGATTTGTTTACTCTATGAATATTTAAAATTTTTATATGATTACAATTGTTTGACCGAAAATTCATTATTCATAATTCTATATATATACATAGGTAAATACTAATTGGTTGAACATTGAGTCTTCAAGCAAAGGCTTTCAGATGCATTGGAAGCTACACAAGACAAGGCAGCAAAGCTCTTGAAGGGAGTCGACAAAGACGCTGTGAAAACTCTTGCGGTGTTGTTTGACGACTCTGTGCATGTGGCACTGATTGGCTGTATCACTGCAGACTTGTTGCCGTACCTGATCAAACTCAAAGAGTCCATTCCAGAAGCAACGCCAGTTGATCCACAAGTGCTGCTGCAGGATGCCTGTATCTTTTCTTTGCCATCAAAAGACCATGCCTACCACAAGCTCGTTTCGACATTGCGAGACACATTCACCAAGTTGACATCGCTTGCCGGCGTCATCAACAATGCATTGAGCAAGAAGGTGGATGTTCGTGATGCTCAATCTTGCATGGAAGAGTTCGAATCATGGTGAACTTCACTCAGAACATTTTGCAAGGAATCATTTGAGAACAGCGATGGCATGCTGTCTGACCTTCAGGAACTGAATGATCCATTGCTTGATGCAGTCAAGCAACTCCTCTGCGGACAAGTTGATTCAGAGGCTTCAACATGCATCAAGCACTGTATGAACATAGTGTCCGATCATTTGCTTTCATCTGAGACCAAGAAGCCTTTGGATCAGTCATCTCTGGATAGCTTCAAGAAGAATCTGGAGGACTCCATGCGTTTATCAAGTGTCATGGGAGACCGTGGTGTTGCAGTCCGAGTTGGTTTGCATGTTCTTGACATCATGGTATCCAGCTACCAATGCCTGAGCAACCCAGATGTCATGAGGTTCCACAACAAAGCACCTATTGACGAAGTTGATTCAGAGGAGTTTGCCTGCATTGGCAAGCTCAACAAATATCTTCATTCCGATGCAGTCAAGGCTGATGCAGACTATCACTGGAAGACTTTGGATGCCATGATCAGTGCAATGCGATCTGATTCAGCAGATGAAAGTGATGTTCAAGAAGGCAAAAACTTTGTGACTGGCTCAGTCAATCTCTTTTCATGGCTGGAAAAGACATCAGACCAATTCGGAAAATCAGTGAAAGCCGCCATTGAGCAGACCATGAGCAAAGTAGTGATGCCTTGCGTGTCGATACCAAATGAACTCTTCAAGTATGACAAGATTGATGAGCTAGTGAAACATGTGGCGCTAGTCAAGGAGACATTTCCTGACACTTTGAACACGCAGGTGATGAACGATACTATGACAATGGAGACGTGTTTGAAGGAGTTAAAGCAGTTTGCCAGCGCTCTCCATCTTTCCACTACCGATCTCAGCAACGGCCAGTTCGAGACTTTGGAAGCCAATTGGAGAGCATGTCTGACTTGGATGCAACGGGCTCAGACATATGTTTGTTCATTGTTGAAGGACAAACAAATGAAAAAAAAAACTTTTGACAGACTGGCAAACAATCTTTCACACAAGTACAACTGAACATGATATTTGTTATGGATGGATTTAATCCTATACTAGCTCAGGATTACGGGAAACCTCCTTACCTGCATGTGCTCCAAATCCATGATGAAGTCATTGACTACCAAATCACGGGCAAGTGAGAGGATCGTGGCTTCTCTCAAGGAATCATTGAGCATCGCAAACGAATACAGCCTGGAAATCTCAGCCAATGTCCAGGCAATTGCGACTGATTTGATTGGCCAGAAGTGATCTGAATGGTGCAATGGCCTTCACCCAAGATGTGGAGGAATTTGTGACAACTGACAGTTTGAATGCAAAAGCCCTGCATTGTAGCACTTCGGCATAACCACAATGCCATTTGAAGCGAGGTGCTAATTCGCCACTACTTGTTGTTTGTTGTATCAATTCAGCTGTTTGACATTGGTGCATGGTCCATGATGAATGTGTGAATACGCAATTTCATTTGGATGGCACCGCTGTGGGTGATTGCTCAGGGGTAAAGCCTTAACTTGAAACCTTTCCAAAAGGTTGCGGTTGGGCAAATACAGTACAGTACATTTCCAGTACAGGAACGGCAACTAAACAACTTGGTAGTGGTGGCTTGCAAGAACTTAGCGGACGGACAAAGCACAAGACAAAGACGTTGATGCATAATAAGAAAAAAAAGGAATATGATTTCATGATTGCATTGCTTTGTTTTGAATCGAATATGAATGCTTTGAGTGTAAGAACTAAGAACTATATTCACTGACTCATTCAATTGTATTGTTTTGTTTTCGTTTGGCAGGTCAGGTCCAAGTCCTAAGATAGCTAGGTCGAACAGTGTTCTGGTAGAGATGGCGCCCAAACGCAAAGCAGCTGATCTAGATTCAGCTCCGACACCGAAAGCGAAAGCAAAAGCAAAAGCGGCCGCAAAAGTTGCAGCCGCAGCAAAAGCAAAAGCAAAGATGGCTGCAGCTAAGACAAGCATGCCAAAAAGGAACCCGAAAGCAAAGGCCAAGAATCCACGCAATCAGGCGTCCGTGGATGAGAGGTTACCAACAGAGGTCAACATTGCTGCCAAAAACTATTGGGACAGATTCAGGGCTGACCTTCCTCGAGCTTCAGGCTTGGCATAGCGACATAGTCTATTGCATATGAATGTTGAATGAACATATGTAACTATTCCCTATGTATGTATGAATGTGTATTGTTTCCACTACCGTGATACTTAGTGACTAGTACGATGTTAGAGTCAGAGTCAGAGTCATGGTCTTAGAGTCCTGGTAGGCGTTGGTAGTGTGCAGCCTGAACTACAGCCTGAGTCAGTTGAACCAGCCACTGCCAGTGGATATGAAGCCAGTGGAGCTGCAGCCAACTCAGCCACAGAGCCAGATCAGCCAGATGTTGATGCTCGCAGTGAATCAACTGGCTCTCCTATTGATCCAGAAGAGGAGGCACAGATCCTTCGAACATTGGATTGGGCTATTTCACAACCAGTGGAAGCCACACCGCCTGACAACTCCATTGAGCCTGATGAGGCATCGATGCCAACTCCAGCACAGCCTGAGGCAACCATGCCAACTCCAGCGGAGCCTGATGTTGTCACAAAGGCCAATGATACCATGGTTGATGAGGAAACCATACCAGCGGAGATAGAGCCCAATCAAACCATGGCAGACGAGGAAACCATGCCAACTCCAGCGGAGCCTGATGCAACCACAGAGCCGAATCAAACCATGGCAGACGAGGAAACAATGCCAACTCCAGCGGAGCCTGATGCAACCGCACAGCCCAATGAAACCATGGCTGATGAGGAAGCCATGCCAACTCCAGCGGAGCCTGAGGCAACCACTGGAGATGCATCAACCCAGCCAGTCAAGATAGAGCCCACTGACACCATGGCTGATGAGGACGCCATTCCAGCTCCAGCAGAGCCTGAGGCAACTACTGCAGATGTGTCAGCCCAGTCAGCCCCCCAGTGAAACCATGGCAAACGATGCAACTGATGCAACCATGTTAGTCCTGCCAACCCCAGAGCCCAATACAGCCAAGTCAGATGCGCCAGCCCAGCCAGCCCAGCCAACCAAAACAGAGCCTCCAGAAGGTGAGCCTGAAGATCCTGGTGATGATGATGATGATGATGATGATGCTGGTTCCGCTGCTGCTGATGATGATGATGATGGGGAAGCTGATTTGATTGGCAAATTTGCGAAGGCACTCACTTTGCAATTTTGTTGCACCACAGTCCCACAGTGTACATTGCAATCAACATGACTGTTATAGAGTCACTATCAAAGTCAGTCAAACTATGTTTTGAATTTGCAGGAACAAGTGCAACGACTTGCCAACGCGATTGGATCGGAATCGCTGCAAGTCATATTGCATGCTCTCCCACGCAATGTAGAGATCTTGTCTGCCTGCACCGGTAGCGGAATGGCAGAAATAGTTGTTCGCAAAGTTCTGGATGAATTTGATCGTCGCTTTCCAGAAGCAGACACTGATCGCACATTCAAGGCCACAAACTATCCACACACACACTTGTTGAAAAAAACAACAATGTTGATTTCAATTTGCAGTGTAGTTTTCCTAGATCCTTTTGCAGGCTACCTGTTTGGTCATGAGTGAGATCATCCCGAACAAGCAAAAGTTTTTGCAAAGACATATTATTCCTGAAGAGGACTCACAATCGCTTGTCGCCACAGCTGCAGTTTATTCAAAAGAAACATAGTGTCACTTAGTCACTTAACTGACACTGCCAAAGGACTTGGACACTACGTGCGTGTTTGAAGACATCACCAAAGTAGATGATGTGTCACAACGACGTTGCATCACTCACCGCACCAGTTGTGTGCAAAGCTCAGTATTATTATGTAGATTTCTACACTGTCTACACTGTTGTATTTGTGTATTGCTTGCATCAATGTGGGATCATTGTGTTTGAGGAACTTCCGTGCTGTGGACAGGATGAAGGTGACAACTATGGACTATTCATTGCAGGGTTTTCTTGTAAGTACTCCTCTCAGAGCTTCTTGTTGTTTTTTTGAAGATGGCATTACTTATGACTAGTGACTAGACTATAGACTCTATAGACTATAGATATATAATATGTGTCATATATACAACATATCGTTCAGTGAATGCAATGATGAAACCTGCAAGGTCATTCAGTCGAATGAACACGGACTTCGCCAGCTTCAAACGTGCACTAGAACAGGGCACTGAGACATAGCAATGTCTAATTGTTCAATGTCAAGTTCCAAGCTTTCCTTTACTTTGTGACATTGTGTTTAGTAAGCTCTGATGTTGCTCAGGACTGCAGTTCGACCGCTACATTCAAGGGTGTTGTGTCCATGCTACAAAAAACAAAACCACATGGCTTCATTTTGGAGAATGTAGATAGTATGGACACACCTACTGGGACAGACGAGCAAGACACACAGTGACTGGACTGAAATTACAGCGAGATGTATTTCGTAAACAAACAAACTTTACTGACACAGATGCAGACTCACTAGACAGCAAAGTGTTTCAGGCAGCTGAAATCGAATTTGACGATGGCGTTGGACTACTTGTCTGAGATTGGCTTTGCTTGTCATGCTACGAAGTTGAGGGCAAATGATTATGGTTTGCCACAGCGCCGTTGCAGGTACTACATCTTTGGTCTGCGGATTGTGAGCAATCTGTCTGAGCATGCACGGCTCTTGGTGGAGAAGATTCCATTGCGACTGCAAGCTATGTCATCTACTGTTTGTGAGCCAGTAGCCAGGGACCTAGCCAGGGAAACATGGTTCTGTTATGTTTTGATTACTGTATTGCGGTGAGTTGGAAGATTTGGAAACAGATGGAAATAGTCACAAATAGAAATATATGATCACTTGATGCACCAATTGCCAGGAGACTTTCCTCCTGGATGATGATAACGCTTTTGTCATGTATGAGTTGAAGCGACGTGTGGACGCAGATGAAAAGAAGAGTCAATCATCCACTGCTTCTGAGAAGTGGGTTGACAGTCACAGTAGTATGGCAGAGTCTATGGGGGTTCAGTGGCCTTTGTCAGCTTCAGTGAAATTGCAGTCGAGCAGCTGGTTTAAGACCTTACCACGTCGAGAACAGGAGGTGCTAACGGCAGTGACAACATACATGTGTTTTTTCTATGTTCTAAGTTCTAATTTCTAATGATTCGGCCTGCGATGTTTGTGTATGTGACACACCAATGTGCAGAATCGGATTCTTTCTTTTTTTGGTTGTGGCGGCTGCAGGTTGTTTGCTTTGTTGACCTTTGGAACAACCGCTCGATATCTGATGGAAAGTCACCAATCGCTTATGCAGATCTATCGCAAACTGTGACACGAGTGCGCACTAGTACTATGTCTTCAGGAGCACACTAGCTGCATTTTAGCTTTGTTAGTGAAGCCTACCAAAAAATAAGTAAATGATCGTGCACTTGCGAGTAACAGGTGGTGCCAACAATTCTACCTGGTCAAAAGCTATGGAGTGTGCAGCGGATGCGACCACTACTGGGTAGTTTGCTTGCAATGCGCAATGAACTTGTTGTTTAGTTTAGGCCTAGGCTACCTAGATTGTTGTATCCGGTCAAGTCTTACTTATGTGCATCTAATACTACTACTATTACTATTTATTACTATTCCTATACTATTATTATTACTACTACTACTTCTAGTATCGTATCGAGGCAGAGAGGCACTGGCGATTCAAGGGCTCCAACTCACTGATCTTCCACGAAACGCGGAAAGTGTGGAACACACTGATTCGCAACTTGCAGATCTCGCCGGCAATTCGTTTTTTTGGTGTGCAGGGAGTGTAATGCAATTCAATTTATGTTAGTTTAGTTTACAGTTTACTTGTTGTTTCTATGTGTGGCCACCACACAGTAGCTCTATGTTCTGTCTCACTTTGACGAGGTTCTCTATGAACTGCATTATGGCTTCCGTGATTGCCTTGCTATCTGTATCAAGGTTTGATTCGCCAAGTGACATCGAAGAATTGAACTGTGCAACCAATATGATGCACAAGTGGCGCAACAACCGCTAACCAAGTTTCACAGTTGAAAGTTGACATAATCGGTTGCTGAGATGCTACTGCTTTTACTTGTACAGCCAGTTAGTGGATCTCATTGCAACCCGAGCCAGCAAAGTGTGCTGACGCAGACTTGATGTAGCTTGCCATCATGGGTTGATGGACAAACATTTGAATGCTTGAAGTCGAAGTCAGGAAAAAAAGAAACATTCACTGACTTGCATCGCGATTTGGGACGTATGTCGATAAGCTTGTGCACAATGCAGTGCTGTCACTGTCACTGTCGTTTTGTCGCACAGTACCGTACTGTACTGTGCTACCGTACCACACATCATCAACGTGCCCTAGTGGTACTGTACCGTACTTCATAAAAGGCGCTGTATCGTACCAATTGTACCTCACAAATCGTACCATGTTGCCGCACCTTGTTCTCAGCAAGTGTACCATGCTACCGTCCCATGTTTACAATGTACCGATGGTTTGCGCCACACATATGTTCCTCGTACTTTGCATCAGTCGTACCTATATTATA